TTGCTAAAAATTTACTTCCATGTTGTTTGTGCAATAATTGAGTGAGGAATTTATATGAGACAATATCATTTCATCACTAATTTAGTAATAGTAACACTTAATTGGAAATCCTTCATGCATGGCATGCAAGTTACCTGCTTGTCATATATGCATTAATAATGAAAATGCTGTTTAGTAAGATGCAAAGTAGCCACGAAACGGGAAATTTTATTCACTAAGATAAGAGAATATTAAATAAGTCTTAGAGGAACAATACTAATATACATATAAAGCAATAGAATGCTAATACAATAAGGAAAAATGAATTTACCTTATAGAAAATATAACAAAATGACAATGCATATTTCGGTTTAAAATGCGTCTATCAGCCCATCATGTGATTCTTCATGTGTGATTTCAAATAGGATTTCCTTTATTGCATACGGTGCAGTTGAATCTATATTGTCATGAATCTTCATGTGATTTCACATATTTTCTGATAGGGCGAAGTTTTTCTCGCAAGAGAACGACAAGAGAACGGCTTCTCACCAGTATGAATCCTCATATGTGTATGCAGATGCGATGACTGGGTGAAATTCATCTTGCATTCCGATAAGAGAACGGCTTCTTCCCGGTATGAATTCTCATGTGTACAAATCCTGGTATTTGTGCATATGTGCACGCACTTACGTTCACGTATAATAATCTAATAATTGCAATCACTGTTTAATCCTTTAAACTGAATATTTAAATTCAGCTGCTATATTGCACTGTGGAAAAAAATTTATGCAAAATTCTCGCAACATTTTTTATGGTTTTATTTCATTTCAACTCAATTCATTTTTCCAGAAACGATTTTTGATATAACTTTCTAGAAACTAGTCAGACTGATTTGACAAGAAAAATTTAAGCTGAACTTGTGGACACTAAGTGCAAAATTTAAAGATTTGCTCATTCTTTGACATTAATTTATAAAAATTAATGTATTACACACTTTTGTATAAAATGTGTTAATCATTATAAAAGCATGTAATACTTCGATTATCGTAAATTAACATCAAAAAATGATAATAGAAAGATGGTAATAAAAAGATTCCAACTGGATTAAGCATAAATGCTTAAGTGTTTTCGGTTGTTTCCTGTAGCCTGCTCCGCTCAACTTGAATCTTATAAGCACCTAAATACTTTTTTTCCATAATTTCAAAACCATATTAAAATCATAGCGTCTGATGAAAAGGTGATATTTGCTGCTCAAAACGGTTCAATGATAAAATGCACATTTCCTTCTTAGTATTAAACTGCAAAAAAAAAAAATTTTTGTGGTTTTTTTCGGATTTCCTTGCATGGATTTCTATTTAGCAAAAGTTATGATTAACAGTAACAATTTATATGATTTCTACTATTAAACTTACCTTATTTTGTCTACGGCGTTATAGTATACATGCTTATAAATTTTCGATTGTATTTGAATTCAATTTTTCTGCGCCTCAAATTTTTAGTTTCTTGAAATATAGAAAAAAGATTTGTTAATGACTGTAAGATTGTTTATAGAACCGCAGACTAGACTCTTTTAAGCCATTATATTGTTTGACTGGATAGACAATTCATATAATTCGTTCATATAAGTTTCATATAATTCGAGGAGCCACAAACAGAACTTGGATGTGTCAATATCAAGAATGTTTGAGGGACGGATTGTCGGAAAAACTCCAAAAGTCATAATGCAAATTTTCAGTGTATAAATTATCTCAAGTTAAATCATTTGTCTAACATTTTCCACGTCAGCACATTGTGAAGAACTTCTCGTTTATAACTATGCCAATTTATGACGAAATATTGTCACCTTTGATTAATACCCCACATGCAGTTATCAGAAAAACTAAACTAATCATTCTCTGTTTAACGTTCAAAGATCATACTATGTGTGGAATTTTAGAAGCCAAACTCACTGGTCTGCGCTATAAAAAGATCAAGGAGCAGAGTGGACTCATTTTCTGACTCCTCATTTATGGCTCGACATGTCAACGACTCATTTACTTCTCGTTTTCCTACTGGTCTATTCGCACTCTGTCAGATTTGATTCAATTTTCGCTCCCCTTTTTCATTCAATGGAACCAAGGCTCTTAGCAGTGCTCTCATCGCTTATTTCCACTGCCAAAACATTTTCTTCTTATAATAATCATTGTTCTTGTGCTAAATGCACTTATCGGGAAAAACCGAAGGAAATTGTAATGCGTTCAACAGCTAAAGAATTTGCTGTAAAAACCATTTCCGTGATAAAGACTCATCACATTATACAACAAACATATATTACGTTTTTTCTATATCCAAAGTGATGAGCCTGTTATCTAAATCTGTAAAATGTCTTCTTTGGTATTGAAATTGCACACACACGCTAACTAATTTACTGCAAACTGTGAAATTGTACGTCTGGTAAGACGATTGCCATCAATTCCCTCTTCGTACAAAGAAATCTAATTTTTTATAAAAAATGTAATTTCTTTTGCAATTGTGAAATTATTGTCGGGTTTGTAAAGACTTTATGAATCTATTCTCTTATCATAAACCCAACCCACTTATCGACAATATAAAGGCGCCAATAAACGCATTCTTGGCATCCTTAAAAACCTTCTTGGTCGAAGATCAAATCAGTGCCTCCTTGGTCCCCCTCAACTCAACGGTTGACGGCGTTTTTAAAAGGACCGGATCACCCTATTCCATCTTTTCATTTCACTATCAAATGCTATTATATTATAATAGTTGCTATACTTCTGTCGCGAATTTCAATTTCACAAAAGACCAAAGTATAAGAAATTATCTGTCCAAGCAATCATCAATCAAGTCTTAGATCTTTGTTTTAAATCACCTCTGTTAAATAGTTGGAACAACCACTCCCACTTTTTCCGTATATAAGCTGTATTCCGTGTTACCGAGAGAGTTTTTTTTATCAGTTTTTCATTACGCTCAAGCAGTTTGGTTGATTCCTTTTCTTTTCCTTTCATCATTATTAGCAGTATCGTATCGTTTTTGTGACCTTACCCTTTACCAATAAAGAATCAACTCTCGCCTTTGTCCACAATGTTACGACACACGCACATCATCCACATCAAACTTGGTGCAGCTAATACTCCAAGTAACCTCAATTCTTCCCCTCTACAACCAACGTGTAGGAATTCCCCTGCTTGTTCCAACTATTGACTGACTGCAAAATATTTCAACAAAAATCCACGACAACTTCTACTACTGAATAAACCTTTCTCTAGTTATTAACACATACAAACGAAACTTTCCGACAGCACTCATCATATCCCTATTCCTAATTACGCATAAACGTCTTAGAAAGACTAAGGCCAACTAAGCATTCCAACCAAACCCTCCTATCGAAAGTGAGTGAACTACGAAGAGTTTGTACCCTCACGTAACCAACAAAAAAGAGACTTCGTCCGCGGAAGAAAATCTCAACATGAATTGGACCATTAGATCCATCAGCGCCAGAAGTGAGTGGGAGCAAGTAGAATTCAACGAAATTGATCAGAATGACGCAAGCTCGTTCAAACTACCAATTCAAGAAGTGAATAAGGAACAAACAAGTATAGGAAGTAAGCCGAAGTAATTCTGGTGTGAGAAGCATCAAAAGGAAGTATCAAAATAAGAATCATCATGTCTATCGATGCCAGAAGTAAGTGGAGCACAAGTAGAACTCAGCGAAAATGGTTAAAATGACACAAGGTTATTGAGCTTACCAATTCAAGAAGCCAGTGTGGAATAAAATATAGGAAGAAAGAAGAAGAGATTCTGGTGCCGAAAGAGCCGAAAAAAAATTGCATTATGTTAAAACGTAAGGTATTTGTTGCACAGAATATTTCCTAGATGAACGATTCATCACATTAAACAATAAAATATAAAACCTTTCCCCACACCTAATGTGATGAGTCAGTTGTCTAATCTTCAAATCATCTAAAAATGCTTTGTTTGATATTGAAGAATGCGTACATCCGGTAACTAATTTGTAAAGGTATTATCCTATGTACTAATCTTGGATACAGCTGTGAGAAAGCTCTACATCTGGTCAAACAATTTTTATGCAATTTTCTCTTTATATAAAGAAAACTAATATGTAAATTTCTCTTGCAGCCGTAAGAATACTACCAATTCGTAATGATTGTTAAAAAATTCTTCACACATTCCTTATATAAACTTTTTTCTTTTTTTAATCCTGTTGGTCGGCAACACACTCTTCATTTATTTTCTCCCAGTTCACTATATTATTACTTACAAATTTCGCCCATTGTTCTACTGGTATTATTTGTCGGAAAAACCGAAATAGCTATATCGTGAAATTATTCATTCAAATAGTTCGCACTTACATTTATTTTTTCCTCATGCTCAAAGTCATGAGTCAGCTATCTAATCTACTAAAAGTGCTTTTTCTGATGTTAAGATTTGTGCATATATGGTAACTAATTTGTAAAGGGTTTATCCCATGCAAAATCTTGTATACAATGGTGAGAAAGCTGTACATCAGATAAAATAATTTTTATGCAATTTTTTGTAAAGGAAACTGTCTTTATATGTAAATTTCTTTTGCATCTGTGAGAATACTGTCAATATGTAATGATTGTTCCTCTTCACACATCCCATATATAAACCCTACGAACTCTAACAAGATCCAGTGTTAATTTTCTGCACGTCGCCACTCAACTCTACTCAATACAATCCTAATTTATTTCCTCTCCGTTTACGAATTGCTACTTCAATATTTCTCCCGTTATTCTACGTTATCAATTTGGACTTCATTCTACTATAATCGAAATCAGTTCTAACCTATTTTTATTGTATTTGTTATTCGAACAACAATAAAGGATAGGAGCTATACTCCTCGAACACATAACCAATCAGTATTCAGTAAGTCATTCTTTCAAAAACATAACTGCTTTATTACTAACAAGAGCAGTAATCCTGATCTTCTAATTCTCTCCATTTTGTCGCGACATCATTCTGGATATCATCCTATTGT